GGTTCAACCACGGTTTCGTTTAACACAATGGCAACAGAAGACTGCAACCTCGGCGGTCGATCCACACAACTTTCGGAAAGGACTTCTGCCAGTCACTAAATTCCACGCAAACACGATTTCGTCGGTCCCAAGAGTTCCACAACACCCATAACCACTTTAGTTCAGTCTTTGGAAGGAATTCAGACGATTTAACAGGAGAATCGACCTGCCCACACAGACGGAAACAATTCGACTGTCCGACATAGGAACGCATAGACTTATTCATAAACAAAGTTATCCCAACACCATACTATAGATGGCGCTCTCACTATAGACCGCCACAGTAGAGTTTTGGGGGGCTAATTTGCATAATTTTTGGCAGATCGACTTCTCATGAACAAATTACCATCTACACTCACCAAGGCATCCACACACCAAAAATCAATCGAGTCAAACGGTTCGGCGGTTTTTGAGAAGAAGTCGTGCACAGACAGACAGATAGACGAACGACAGACGCAGGACAGAAACCCATCTCATAGGCTCAGCGGACCTATGGTACGTTGAGCCAAAAACCCGCAGTCGCGTAATCGTGCACGAATACATTATAGGCGGTATTGGCTGTCGTATTGTTTTATATTGAAATTAAGAAACGGCAAATAAGTACATAATACTAGCTCTTTTTATAGTTTTATGTAAGCCAATGTGATAGAATTATAGTAAGTAACTCACTCAATATATTATTTTTAGATATGATATTTTACGGTGTTATTTTGGTTGTATATCCTTTGCATGATCCAATCCTTGGTTGATTTGATAAACATAACCAAAAGAATGTGTTACAATATTATCAACGTGAATACAATTGTGGCTTTCCCTTCAAATGTACCTATTGAACTGAGTTTCAGTTCATTTGTGTACGCAACGCAAGCTCTTAATATTACATTCTATGTTAATCTATGTTAATTTAAGTATCATGTTATGAAGGTACTGATGGTAACACAAACAAATGCACGTGCATATACTGTCACGTAGAACCGAACATAATTTTATGATTGCATTCAGGCTGCCTGAACTGAAATTAACAGAGACACAAACAATTATGAACTAATATTGTGAATAAGACTTTCATAAAATATCAAAATGCCAGTATGTCTCAGTGTGTAAACAAACTTAAATTCCTAAAAAAGTAAGAGAAAACAAGCATTTTGCAGTGAATTTTCACCACTCCCTCAAGCCAGAGTTTATAATTATCGACACTTTATTCTGATTTTTGCGCGTCGTGGAGATGGATATCAATTTAAATGGTCGCCACTTTAAAAACGGTACAACGTAGAGTATTGATCTTGGTTTTTGAGTAACCGAGAGGTGTTCTAATTGTGATTTCAAAACGGTAGAAACTCGGGCTGAAAAGAAGTATGTGTTTGTTACTCTGGTTCGTTACGAGAGAACTGGTTCATGCAATCGTAGTATTTCTAAATCGATAGGCAGAGACCAGCTGATATTTACCGGCGTGTACTTGAAAGTATGAACGTACTGCTCAGTTGGCCAAGCTTTTAACTTAGTAACCTCAGCTCTGAAAATTTCCCATATTCTATATACTCTTACATTGAGGAAATTGTGCCGGTTGACACTAGATCATTCTTCTGTGAAACATGATTTCATGTTGGTATAGCTAGGAAACTGTACAAAACGGTCCGTTTCAGTGTCATGTCATGAATTTGTTTTTGCGTATCTGTTGACCGACTTAATTAGCTGATTATTAGCGAATTGCTGTGTTATGTCTGTCATCGTTTAGGTCTATTTGAAGTTTTGGACGGAACTTGGCTCAGTGATTTGGAACTAATTACCAGATAACCGCCGCTTTTTAGACTACTCATTCTGACAGTTTACATCCATAGTTATTAATGTAGTGAACGATTAATGAAAAGATATGATGTATTTAGTACTTAGTGTGATTGGCTTTATGATTGAAGTTTACGCCTTATAGTCTTTTTACTGTTTTGTAATTGGTTAGAGTTTTGAAAATGAATAAAGAGAGTTTGAGTTGGTCTTGAAGAGTACTCCACGATAGACGCAGTCCTGGGCAGTCGAGGGCAGTCCTGGAGAGACTTGGGGCGAGCCTTGACGCTGTCTAAGAGAGTCTTGGGTCAGCCTTGTGAGAGTCTTGGGGACTTTTCCCCAGGGCGCTGTGTCTTATAGAGTGCTCCAAAAGATCGACTAAGACGAGAGTTGAAACGTATTTCGTTGTGTGTGCCTTATTTGACTGTAAAGTTAAAGTGACTTTCCCGATCCCGTACCTCAAGGGGACGCGATAGAGAGACGAGACGAGATTCCCCCCTGACAAGTGTGGAGAACCCGAGAGAAGAGATTTTCCCCCTGATAGTCACACATCCTCCATAAATAGATTTACTGTGTTTGTGAGAGTCTACGGCGAGTTATGTTTGATCATTTGTTGGGTGCGCAGAAAAAAATCTTCAGCTAGAGAGACGTTCATTAGCCCTTTTCACTGTAGACTGGACGTTTGCTACAATGTTTATCATTGATGTCTGCTAACCGAAACATTTACAAGGCCAGCCACCGATTTTACCTAATTGTGATGTATATTTTCAGTATACTGTGACAGAAATCACATGGGTAGTAATGCTGAGCGCACGCTCGATACAAGTCATAACATTATTCGACATTATGTGCACCCTTATTTGTTCCACTAGTTAGTTCTTTTTTGTAGTGTGTGATTGACCTTATTAGGATTCTTAGATCAAGACAAAGTGAAATTCAGTGGCATGCTCGATTTTTTTTTATTTTTATTTTTTTTGGAATTGTAAGATTCCTTGTGAAAAGGCCCGCTAAACTCCAAAACACGAAGAAGAAATGTAGTGGTTTTCTACGTATCAACAGGCGTGTCACGAGTTTAGACATTTACGACTACCAGATTGTCTGATTGTGTGTGTTTGTGTGTTTTATTTAGAAAACCCATTATCATCATAATCAGAAGCACAAATCTGACTGTCTTTCGGTGTGATCAATTACGAGTTTATCTTGTCGCATATTTTTTCAGGTTTAATTATCTTTTTTGATGTCAGTGTCAGTATTTTTATCAATTTTAGTTTGCACAATAATTATTTTCCATTTTTGTTTCAGTACATCCAATACACCTACAAGTTTTTTATCGCATAGCATATAATACACACACACACATACCCAAAACACACACCCATACATACCTACATACATACATACACACACATACAAACATATATATGACTAAGAGACAATTTTTCATGCGAAGCTACATATGTTTAATGTGTACAAGCTACTATAATTGTGTTGCATCAAGATATGCACACTGTATTGGCAGAGTAAATTTAGCTTAGCTTTTATGTCAAGTACCGAGTCCGACGTCAACATTTTCTTTCCCTTTGTCTCACACATTCTTGAAACGCCTTTTTGTATCAGGGAGACCTCTTTTCTTTCTTTGTCTGACATTCTACCGACACATAGCCTCGTCCTCCCAATTTCCACAATCGTTATAAGTATTGCATATACTCCCAGCACGGATGCACGTTTCGCCGTCCGGACACATAGCATGAGACCCACCATCATAGCAATCACAGAAGTCATTCTCTTCGTCTTCCCCTCCAGGACAGTCATTTGTGCCGTCACATAGAGCATCGTACGAGATACAGGCTGTTATCTGTGTGGTTGGATCAACTGGGGGATGACAAGCGACTTCGGGGCAGCAAAACAAACCATTTTCATCACTCCCATCTGCACACTCAATGACGTCGTTACATTGAGCTCCGACGACGCATGTTCCATCATCGCATGCGAGTTGGTCACAGTATGGACCAGGGGCAGCCGTTGTACCACAAAGTATAGAATCTTCGTCATAACCATATGGACATTGTCAGTACCATCACATACCTCTCCGTATGGAATTGTACTGCCATCCCAACAATCGAATTCAGTGCACTCCTCTTCATCTCCGCCAGAAGGGCAATCCTCGTAAAAATCACAGAAATATCCTTCATAAATAGAGTAATCATCACCAGGGCATATCGAATACTGGGCAGTTGTAGTCAGGACACAAGCTGATATACACAGTACAGCAAGGTACATCGCAGCGTTACAGTGTGGATTCATCTTCAACGATCTAAGTTGATGTGTTTGATGAGCCAAGCACAAATACCAGTATATTTTATAAGTACTCAGTGTCGACATTCATGCTTTTAGTAGAGGAAAACAAAATAATTTGATGCGTATTGTAACAGTAAAATTACAAGCAATTTCATCTCGTGTTATAGGCGAGAGTAATTGACAACTTACTCGTATTGTTGTCCGGATGTTAACGATTCTCAGGTAATGGAAAATAGTACATGTTCTGACTGGCTAAACCCATTAAATACCATTATATCTGAGCTGTTTATCAGAAAAATGCCGATTACGCTCCCCATGGAGGACGAAAATGGGTTATAACCCGAGGGCACTTACATGGTTGAAGTATACGAGTATGCGCCACTAATTTGATGCTCATGTTTGACCTCCAATTTTAAGATTATTTGCCATGTTAGCCAAACTTACGCCATTTACTTGGTGAAACACACCAATTTGCAACACATAGTTTTTGGAGTATTTGAAGGTTTCATAAAGTTTTTATAAACATTTTTGAGTATCGAATATGATATGATTGAAAGATTTCCAGAGTCAATTAATGTTTTGTTTTTAGTTCCAATTTATATGTTAATTTGGGAGGCACATTTTAAAATCCTTATGAAACGGAAGTCGCGCAACCCACGTGCGTATAATTTGCACATGTTCGATAGATTATATCTAATTCGGTAACATTT